GTATATCCTCACTGGTGTTTAAGGGTGGGTATGACTCAAAATCCAGACTCACCTACCATCCAGATTATCTGCCCATAAACATGAGCTCAAGTCAAAACTCAACTCTGATGCCCTTCAGAAAAAGAAAGAGCCTTTACACACACTAAAGCCCTTTGCTTAGCCCCTTCTCTCATCCACACTTTCTAAAGTGATTTGASATGGATAAAAATAAACAATGTCACATAAATCAATGGGAAGAATAATCCAAATCCAATTCTTTGTGAAAACAGGATGGATATTTTTCACCAATGGAAGCAACCAGCYGTTGTAGGTAGAAACCATATGGATTCTGACCCATTTTTGCTTTGAAGTGAGCAAATCATGTATCAATCACTACAAAGCAAATCGAACTGCAAAATCAAAGTCTCTTGACTATTTTGCATGGGCCAATCATCAAATGAAAAATGGAGTGCTCTGCTAGCTGCTCTCCAAAAGCTGAAGAGTACCAGCTAGAAACGCCAAGCTGCATGTCRATGATTTCATGTTTGTGGAATGAAGTGGGAATGAGAACATCAGCTAAAGTTGAATGACAGCAAGGTGTGGGATAGAGTAAAAGACTTTGCAATTCAGTGAAAATATTATTTCTAATGATGTGTCTTTCATATCCTGAAATGCCACAAGTTATTTCTAGTCTCTTTGCAGGAAGGTGAAGTTTTTGCCCCACATCTTAGGTCACAGTTCAGCAAGATATTTAAGCATGTCACTAACTTTATTCAGATGATCAAAAGCATCCACTTGTTTTCCATTTGCTGAACCAGAACCTGCAAATACACATGCAAAGATGTTGTTCCACTGAACTCAAATTCAAATTAACTTGCATGAATTGTGTTGGCAGGGTTGGGACTGCATAGGGAAGAATGGTTAACACTTATAGGATATTTTTCTTACAGTAAATTTCAAAATTATTTGCAGACTAAGTAAGTATCATTCCCATTCTATGGAAACAGAGAAAAGCACCTGTTTCTAAGCAGATGATGGGGAGAGCCAGGGTCATATCCCATTTTGCTGGACAGAAGAGCAATTAACTATTTGCAAGGTCATGCAACTTTGTTTTTATGCTTAATAACTTTTCAGTCTTATTGTCCCTTACTTTTGATGGTGGTTATGTGAACTGCTTTAGTAAAAACAGAAAGTGCAGGCAGAGAATGGCATGCAAGAAATATGAAAAGATTAAGGCTCAACTGTTACTTGAATGTATATACCTAAGTTTTCTTGTGAGGCTTGATCCAAAGAATGACTCCCTACTAAACATGACATTACTGTAAAGTGAAGAAAAGTTATTAAGACGAGACATTAATGATTACCCATGAAAAGCTCTATGAGAAAGAATGGGAACAGCCTTTCATTTGTAGTTAATGTAGTGTGCAGATCAGAGGGACTTTTTTCTCCTTCTTGTTTTGGGCAGATGTATTAGGATGAAATGTTGACAGGGAAATTTTGCACAAAGTATGGTTTTGGTTTACAAAGTATGGCTTTATTTTCGTTTTGCTGTTAGCACTGGTAATACAAAAATGCACCACATTTCATGAATTCTTTCATACTCACGTAATAGGAAGGACGTACAGATTATGCCACTTAAAATCAAACCAACTTTCCAAAGGCACAGAAATATTATTTATCTTGTAGAGATAAGGAAACAGGGATAAATTACTTTTCTGCAATCACATAATAATAAATCTAGGAATGAACATGCTCTCCTGATGTCTAGTTCTACAGCTGCACAATGAGGAACAGGAACAAACCCTAGGAGGAAGTTCAAAATTCTCCACTATAGTGCCTGTACATACAAGTTTCAACACTGGTCAAGATCAGTGGAACAGCTGCTAATAACAACACTGAAAAATCAGGCTGCAGTATTCATTCCCCAAACACAGACATAAAAAGTTGGCTCAGAATAAAAACATGTCCAGCAAGCAAAGGCCCATCCTGAATGTAGGTCAGGCTCCCAAATGTTTGCTGAATGATTCGCTGCACTCCAGCAGAAATGAGCATTAGTGCCTCTTCTTTATAAACCTCCCTTCCTCAGAGCTGAGCAGATGAAAAGGCTTTGCAATACCACCAGAAAAGCAATTGCTGTCTGAGATTTCATGGGGCTGAGAGGTTTAGACATTGATTAAGGCAGAAAGAGCTAATGACACCTCTGGCATGAAGTCAGTAAAGCCCCCAACAGTGAGCCAGAGAGAGCACATCCCAATTCCTCCTGGTTTGGGGGCTGTGCAGGGCCTGAAGGGAAAAGGCTGTTCTGAAAGAGCAGSACCATAGAAACCCCTTCACTGCTCACAGGACAGAGTTRAGCACCAGGGCWGCCAATGTCCTCTTCACCACAYCTCATACCTTCACYKTTTTAGTTTAAAGGGAAYTTCAATAAAGCYTTGGGCTGCTGCAAACTTTACTTGRTTTTCCACTAAGACAAGTCCTTCCCTGCAGCCTTGCCTTGGGATTCAGCTTCTGAAATGGACTTTCCCATTCATTTGTGACCCCTGTGTTCTTCCCAAATGGCCTRAGRACAAGGASCYCTATCTGTGACTTCATYATGATGCCAGTTTCTGCTTCCAAGGAGAGGTTCTAGAAGGATCTGTCACAGGGTTCWACTCTGAAATTGTGGAGTTCCTAAAAAGCYTTCACACTACTCAGTAGAAACCTTGCCACTTAAAGTGCTTCCCATCCTCAAATTTTGACACAGCCAGATCTTATTTTTAGTTTATTAAAAGCTTCTGTGAAAGGTTTGGACCAATTCTTCTCTCTCCTATATCAACCACTGATGAGACATAGCCATTTCTCACTAGAGCAGCTTTCTCATTAAGTACTTAATGATGAAAGAACCTGGAGATTGAGGACATTTATGGGCTGTTCTCCCCATTAGAACCAGGTTCCCTCATTGTTCATTTATTTCAATACAGTCAAAGCACAAAGTATATTCAGTGGAGTACAAGTAATAATTTCTGTACTAAATCAATGTAGGACAGAGAAGATTTTTTTTTTTAATTATCTGGTTTGTAAATAAGAGTTTTATGAGAGATGGGAGGTGGTACTGTCAAAACAACCAGCTTTTATGGTTCAAGCCCATTTCTACTGAAGTCAGTAGATGCTCCCTCAAGTACCATCATTTTGCTGTTTACCTGGAGGGTTTCCAATCCCTTTAATTGAGTGCTTCATTCTATAAACATATTCCTGCTAGCAGGAAGGCTCCCATGCAGGTGTACTGATTATTTTGCTGAGGGTTATTGCATATATAACAAAATAAAAGCAAGATATAACCAGCTACAATAAGGGGCCTTGGGATTATAATTTTAAAGATTTTGAGTTGTGAGTCATACATTTTCATTTGTAATTCCATAAACATAAAATGATTTCTACTGGCCTGAAAGCTGCAATAACTCAGAAGATACTCCACGAACTGCTGCAGGTGCAGGAGCTTCTCTARGGGGGCTGTCACCAGCAGAAAACTCCAGCAGTCACACCTAATTTTAATCTTCTGCTGCATCTCAGTCAGAACATTTTAACTCAAGATATGGAATTACATACTCAAAAGGATTTTAGCTCCTAAGCTCTTCCCTACATATTAAAGACCAAAATTCAGCTTTTACCAACACAGGAGATGGCTAAAATCCCCAGACATCTCCATTAATGAACTGAGCTTGCCCATGACAGCTTAGCCTGGGCAGTGCCATGGCTGTAAGGAATGTAAGGTCCATGGGGGTTCACAAAGTGGGTGCCTCCCACCCAGTCAGTATTTGAAGAGGGGCAGGTGAGCTCATGGCTGTGGTGGCAAGAGGAGAAAGACATCCTTTCCCAATAATTTGTGCTACAGCACTTGCCTATATTGTAAGAAAATTTGGGATAGGTTTTTCACTTCTGCTAAATGAAGGTTGAACCCAAAAAATTAATAGGAGAACAGCAAGAGTTAATCTTTCTTTTTGTTGTTGTTCAACTTCCTTTATTGAAGTTGTCACGTGTTGCACAAAATGTTTAAAAAACAAAAAGAAAACATAAATTTTCATCAGGCCGGGGACTGGAACTCAGACCTGAACTCTTACTAACGATTTTCAAATATTGCTACAATTCTTGTTCCTTTTCTCTGCACTGTCAATAGGGATGCAAACRGAAGCAGCTTCAGCACGAGCCTGTRGATTATTCATCCTTTAATTGCTATTGAATTTCATTGTGGGTGACCCATTGATAGCAGTTTAACCTTAAGTTTTGACTTAACAATTATTGTATGTGCATTTGACTCTTCTRCTTAGCTGAAGAGGGTTATAAATGTATCATTTCCATTGGAGATCTTGCAGGTTGACTGTCAGTGACTGCTCTGCTGTAGTCTTCAGCGACTGACCAGTATTCAGATTGGTGATTCCTTCATTCTCTTTTCTTCTCTAAATTCCCCAGTGTGACAGGGAGCTTTCCCATTATTTTTTTTTTTTTCCAGCAGGGGTGGGACCAGCACCTTAAACCTAAATTAGCTTTTCCAGTACTGCCAGAGAGATTACCTAGACTGCTGTTCTATCTTAAACACCCACCTTTGTATTTATTGTCAAGAAATCTTTGCCCATGGCGAACTGACCGGGACTTACACCACAGCACTGCTCTGTGCAAGACTGAGCAGCAACAACAGCAACCAGAGTCTTCAATTCCCCCCAGAACAGCCTGGATGCTAAACCCTGGCTCTACAGCATGGATCAGAAATCCAGACCATGATTAGTCATCATAACAAACAAGAAAGCTGTTACAGACAATCAGCAAGCAATACTGCCTTTGTACAATTAGCATTTTAGCCGTGTTGTTAAACTGGGAAAAGAAGCAAGCAGTTAGGACAYGGATTTGTTAATAATTTTTAATGGTTACCTGTGGTGTTAGTAGCATGTTTTAGTTAACAGCTCATGAATCCACAATGAACTATTTAGCTTGCATCCTCCACCAGCTGTATTAAAACATAGATATATAAAATAATGGCAGCTACATACCTGGCAGTACCATCCAATTGTTCTTTCCTTTTAWAGAAGAGGACGCATTACAAGAAAGTAAGGAGAGAAGAATCACATAATAAATTCAGCATATTTTTGAAATATAAATYGCTAATCTTCTGCTAATACCTTATACCTCTTTTGTTCTGTGACCACAACTGACAGAAAAAGGAGAATAAAAGCTACATTTTCAACTAGCCATAAACCAAAAAAAGTGACATCGATTCCTGAAACCAATCTGTGCTGCTTAGATTGGCAATCCAGTCCCTGGTGAGAAGTGATCTCCCCTGCCCTCTCTCCCAGGACCTTATTTGCAAAACACTTATTAAATTTCAGGTTGCATTTGAATCACAAAAGAACCTACATGCAGTGAGCAAGTCTGAAGTCACAGTAATGAGTCCAGACTCCTCATGAGTCTGAGAATTATTCTCTGAAAAAGCCTGCAGTTGAGAAACCATCAGAAATTACACTATAATRGAAAATGTGGGAATAGACAGAGAGTGAGAAGAGATAAAGAAAAGGAATTTACTGAGCCTTAATTAAATGCTTATGGTGTGGGGTTTTTGTTTTTTTGTTTTTTTTTTTGTAGAGGTTTACTTTTTGAAATATGTGAAATCAATTCTAAAAATATATTGTGAATAAAACAAACAAAGGGAGAATATTGTAATATGCCCTTTGTGAAAGTGGAGGTTTGAGACATTTTAAGTCAGTTTTGARTGASAGCTGGARTTTCAGTAYCAGTGCAGTGAGCACCATGACTYGTGGAGACTCTGAGTTGAGCACTATTTTGAGGGCACTTTTTTTCAGAATGAGCAAGTCCAGAAAGAAAGTTTAAAGCACTAATTTGGATATGGAATTCCCATATTAGCAGCTGATACTCTAGAGCTAAAAGTCTCGGCTTTTCATAGGGCCATACAGGTTTTTTAAAACAACATTTTAAAATGTGAAGACCTGACTGTGAGAAAGGTGCCTGTTTGACAGGCAAGGAGAGTGAGGATCAGCCTAATAGCCATAAACAAATAAGCACCTATTATATGTGATTTTTTTATATATGGAATATTTCTAGAAACTGTTACCTACAAAAGCCTCATTGATACATATATAAAGTCAATGTTCCCTGTCCTGACTGATGTTGCACAGAAAATTATGATGGAGAGGTGGATTCACTTACCTGAAAAATGGAAATGATACAATTGATTCATAAAACCTCCAGGTAGCAACTAAATCAATCCTGTTGGGGTTAGTAGCATAGTATCTCCAGGCAGCCTGAGTTACAAGGGAGAGGAAAGGATTAGTGTTAGGTGAAGTTATTTCCCAGCTGACTGCAGCCAGACTKTTTCAAAGAACATAATAATGCACCTGAATAATTATCTGGAAATTGATTACTAATCAGCCACACCAAATGAGCATCACTATGTGAAAAAACACTGGACTATGAGCTGGGAGGGCTGTTAAAGGAGATAGGACATAGAAAGAACCACCAAAAGAACATGACATTATGTTAGACTAAACCAGTTTTACTGTCCTGTTTCATATGACTGAAAGAGCTTCAAGCACTGCTGGACTTGGCCAGTAATGCTGGAAGTGCTTAAGATAATTTTCCTCCTAATGTATCATCAGAGGAAATTTTGTTGAGCAATCTTCTACTTCAGCATTTAGYTCCAATCAAAATTCTCCAAAAAAAATTTCGCTAAGCACATACCTAAACTAAAACCCACTGTAGCTAAATTAGCTACCTGATGAGTGGAGGTATCTATTAAATCTTTTAATTTAAAAGGTGAATTCCATTCACAGTTCATGCCTGCAGCCCCCTCTGTTTGCTATAGCCTGTTTTTAATGAGAACAGCCATTAATTTTGATGCCAYTCAGCCTGTTTCTCCTGAGGACTGSTTTGATCCTGAGCACCAAARCTTCCATCTGATATCACAGAAACTTTTTCTGTCCCTCCATGAAAATGCTGCCATTTATTTCACTGCCATCAGCACATGCTCTATACCTTGTAACAGTAAGTCCTGTCAAATTTGTCAGCACAGACTAATGATTTTAAACTTAATATCCCAAATTCATAACTAAGGCCATAACTGAAGTCCACATGAGGTAAGGACTCTGTTCCCACTGAATTTTTGGATCATCCAGTGACAAAACAGAAGACACAGGGTGTGTTTTAGTTTTCAAAATCCACACATATTATTTATGTTATTTGCCTTGATTGAAACTGTCACTGTCTATTGTGTTACTTCTATTCCTGTTTTCACATCAATAACAATACAATTTTGTTTGCACAGAAAAAAGCTCTTTCTCAAGGGAACTGAAAAAAATCTGGATTTTGGAAAGAATACACTTTTGACAGCTTGTTTTCTGTGATTTTGTGGCACTGATGTAGAATCTGGTTGGTTTCCAGAAACTACCAGATGAGACCCTTTCTTCTACACTGCTCTTCTGCAAGATATTCTGGAGTTGAAAGATTCCTCAAAACTGCAAGGACCTCTGGATTAACTAGCTCCGTGTGAAAAAAACTGACAAACAAATCTTCTAATCTCCTGCAACAGGAAGAGAGAATTTGGATGAGGGAGGAGTGGTGGCCTTGTTAACATGATGCAGCAGTCTTCATGCACAACACTTTTTCAAGGAAAGGAAAAGCGACTGCAAACCTGAATGAGCTCAGCTGCTGGCTTTCTTCTTTTCTCAAAATGTTTTTGACGATGTTGCTCCTGGACCTTCAGTGCCAGCCCTGACCCCAAAATGCCCTGAAAGCATAGAGTGATGCAGGATTTTAGATATTTCTCACTCAGAACAAAAAGGAATTAATGATGAGATGAAGCAGGTCTGTGGATGGAGATGGATACATGGAATCCATGAGCAGTCCCCATGGCTTTCCTGCTGCTCCACTCAKGGGACAGGAGTTTGTCATGATCCTCTCAAGGACCACAGGCCACACCATATCATTTTAGGGTCTTTAATAAGCTTCTTGAATGTCTACTGTCTTTCCAAGCTGGAGGTGTCCAGGTGTGTTATTTTCCACTCTACCCTGAGTGCTTTCGTGATTCAAGGGCTGTGCTAAACCATACTCTTGATTTGGGAGCACAGCATTTGTCATCCTTGGTGAAATTATTTCCAAGTCTGGATCTAAAGGAAAAAATATCCTAAAATCTGAGCTTAGGGAAAATTTCTGTTGCTATTCAGACCATCTCAGTCAGATCTTGTCTCATTCTTATCTGAGAACTTTGCAGACAAAGGAAATATGGGCCCAATTCTAATTATTAAAAGAGTGAGCCCTAAATACTTTGAAAATATGTCTTGTCAATAGACTATCATGTGCCAGTGCACAGTCTCATGAACTGCTTTGTGGCTTCCCAGGTTGTTCACTCGCTGGATTAATTTTGTCCTTTGCCAGCACTGTCAAACAATGCCCACACGAGATTTCAGGAGTATTGGGGTGATATATTATTCCCAGTAGGCTGTGTGCAAAGTTGGGAAGAAACAGGTTTGATTTCCCGATACAGACCCACTCTTCTTAGAAAGGGATTTGTTTCCACTGGTGATTTTATTAACTGTACCCTCTTTTTGCAAGTGCACAGCTCTGGRCTGTGTGTGACAGAGGAGGGGAAGGTACTTACTGCAGGAAGAGCAAAGAAAGACACTCCAATGAGAGAGAAYGTGGCTGCAATCAGCCGCCCCTCCCATGTTTTGGGGGTCTTGTCGCCGTACCCGATTGTAGCCAGGGTGATCTGTGGGCAGAAGGACCAGGACTTGATGTCAGAAAAACAAAGCCAGCAGCTCTGTTTAATTGTCACCATGAATAACCCACTTAGCCCTCTGGGTGCTCATGCACAGCTTTGTGAAGCAGGACCTTGATGATGGCACAATCAATTGTTTTGGAGGCATCGTAGTCCCAAGGCATTTAATAGAGAATGGATGCAGTCTCAAAGCAGCTGCCTCTCTYGGATGCATTTGCTGCAGGGGAATCCATGTGAGTCTCCTGGCCACCATGAGGGCACAGTCAGGAATGGGATTTGCCAGTTAATATCTTCCAGACCCTTAATAAGCCAGGAGTACCTCTACCTGAACCCTTGGTCTTTTTAAATAAAGATGGCTTTGTAAAAACTTGCTCCTCTCTGCACAATTGTTAATTTTCAACTGTGTACCTTTTCTCACCATTGAGACTCTCTCTAAATGCCTGGGATATAAAAGTATATGAAAACATCAGGTGTTCTATGCAGCACTTGGTATCTCTTGACTAATAATGGGGTGGATGTGGCATCTTACATTTATGAGTGAACTACATTAAATAAAAATTATGCTGTGGAATTTTAGTCACAGCATGACAGAGACTCTTTTTCCTATTGGTAGCAAAGCAGTGTAAGTTTTGGAATGGCAGCAGCAGTCTGTGATTGAGCACCAATACTCTTTTCATCACAAGAGACAAGAACAGATGTATCAAAGGTCCCTCTTGTTGTAGGTAATTGGTTGTAGGGGCACCCCCACCTTGGTAAYGTTATCCAGGTAAATTGACTTTCACCCAAATACAGTAGCACCTGTGCTGTAATATCTAACACTTTTGCTCTCCTTGAGTGCTAAGTTTTAAGAAGGGTGTAAAGTATTTTTGGAGTCACTTACCAGCCCCCACCACAGAGCATCTGCRTAGGTTTCAAACTCTTCTTTCATCTCTACCCCATTAGCATCTTTTTCAGGAACATCTTTTTCAACCAGATAAACAAGAAATGAGGATAAGATGAGCGTCARGAACCCGATGTACCAAGCAGTGATGAGCTCCTGCAAAAGGAACAGATGGAGATGGAGGGGCTGAAAAGGGCCTCAATATCCACAGCAGCAGAGCAAACATCAGGAGAGAAAAGCACAGAGGGTAACAGCACAGCTGCCACTGCTGGCTTTGGGCACATCCATGGCCAGCCCAGCTCAGCACTTAGTGGGAAATAATACAGAGATTTTCAATTATTAGGATCTCCCTTGGGAACAGCTTGGAGAAATCTGCAGTTGTAGCTCTGCATGAATCTGGGTTAAGGGCTTTGCAGAGCTCTGTCCCTGACCTTCACTCTTCCCCTTCCTTTTGCCCCTGGGCTCGGTCAGCCCTAGAGAGCAAATCAACAGCTCTGTCCTCTCCCTGCATGCAGAGAGCCAAGGCTGCAGGATGCATTTCCACTCTTCAGCCAAATCAAAGCAGGTTCCATCATTAATGATGTTTCCAACACGAATTCATGCAGTAAGAACAGACCTYGAAAACAATCTGTGKGCAAACAAACCCTGAACTTTGCTGYTTTAGAATGACTGTGGTGGAGTGTGTGTCTAATCCCACTGAGGTGGAAGACACAGCCACCCAAGTTAAAATCCCAGCAATGTGTGAAACAAGGCAGAAATATTCTTGTTGAAGTTCTTCAAAAGTGGATAAAAAAATCAATATTCCAATTCATTTTATGAGAACTGTATTGGGAAAAAACAGAGAAGAAAGGATTGTAGCTGAGAACTTTGAAACTGAATCTTGAGACAAGTGAACAGCTTCCTTTGCTAATTTCTGGTGTGCAAACGCTGAAGGAAATTGTTAGCAAAATKGCTTTGTCATTGTCTCCAGTTCTCACAGCCCCTTCTCATCTCCCTCATTCAGCAGAGGTCCAAAAGTGTATGGTGGGGAACCAAAAAAAAATATTGGAATGAAACCCCACACAATGAAGCCTTTAAAAATTTCTAAACAACATCTTTGATACACAGATTTGTTCCATGATCTGTTTCCTGAGAAACATTTTTGACACAAGTGTTTATCTACCACTTGTCTTGCAGCAAGTTTATATGAGGGAGAAGCAGAAGTTGGTAAGAAATGAAGCATGGTGGGTATCCCCATCAGCCTCGACACAGAAGCAAAGTCTAAATATGCAATGCCAGCTGGCATTTTAACTTTCAAAACCCCCTAAAATGTCAGGAATGTCATTCATGGGCAAAAAAAGCAGTATGTAGTGGAGTATATATAATTTTTCTACATCCTGCACAGATGAGAAATCTCATCTAGAGGATTTTTTAGCAGATAGTTTTTAACTTATAATAATGTTTTGTGAAAATGCAAGAACACAAGTATCTGCCTGGTGCAAGACAGGGTGTGTCTGACAAGAGCATCAAACCAAGAAAAAATTACTTTAGAAATTTTGCCTGTCTGGGTTCACTTTTTGTCCATCTCTGTATTGTCTGATCTATTCTTTTGAAGAKWRATTTGATGAGTAGCACCCTCTGAAMCACTTTTCTGTGCACATTTCCCAGGCTAATCAGCCTCTTTCCATCCCTTCGGAGTCCTGCTCCATCTGTTGATCAGACGAGTCTGAGAAGCCACTGCAAACATTCTACAATTTAACAGGATTTTTGTCAAGGATTTCAGCATCCTTCATTATAAAAGGGATGTCCCTGCTCCCATTCAGAGAAAAGGCAAAATTCCTGTCATCATGTRTGGGAATGAACATTCTCTCACTTCCCAGCACCACCACTGAGCAAAGAAGGGTAAAAGAAAGGGCAGAAATGATTCAGAGAATGGAAAAGGGAATAAAGCTGAAAGAACAAACTATTTTGAACTGCTGAACACAATCCCAGGGCACTGCTGTACCTGTGCATCCCCTCTTTTCCTTTGAACCTTTCTCCCCCAGCCCCAGCTGAGYCCTGCAAGCTCCTCACTTACTTTGCTATGTGCACAAATAGCTGACCCCAAAAGTTTCCAGGTGCCGCCCCTCCTGTCCATCCGGAGCATCCGTAGGATCTGCAGGAAGCGGAGGCTTCTGAGAGACGTTGCCAGAACATTGCCCTGGTTCCCAACAGCCACCACTGGCACTGAAGCAATCAGCACAAAGATATCTGCAAGGAGGAAAGAACAAAGCCTGCCAACAAAAGCGGCCCCATCACCTGCTTCTTAATCCCATCTGGTTCTGCTGCAATTTCCCCAGATAAATGGTGAAGCTGCCTGGAAATGCCTTCTCTTGCCAGTTAATCAGATATCTGCACCTGCCACAATCAGCATCAGGCACGGATCCTCCCAGAAAGCCTTGGGATCTGTTTACACATCCATGCACTGGGCTTGAGACACTGAGCTCGCTTAGGGAAGMACAGAAACAGTGTCCTAATGCTGACAGAAAACCAGCCCTTACTTCATCTGTACTGCTGGAACACCAGAGTGAGCAGATCAGCACAGGAGAAATTCAGGTTTGATGGTGCATTTACTATTAGATTCTTTTGGCTCAGTTTTCCCACTAAAATCTCGAAGCCAGTACTTTTATTTTTTTTTATTAAGTGCTCACAGGACCAACTGGCTGATAATTGAAGAGGTTTGAAATGCAAATTGCACCACTTCTTTTTCTTTTCTTTCTCTTTTTATCCCTGTTTCCCCCTGCTTTTTGATCCTGCACACCCGTACAAGAAGAAACAGCTTCAAACATCCTCTGGACCCACAGCCTTTGAATTGTCTTTATATTCTATTTCCAGCCAAAAAGAGTGGAATTCAGATTTATTCACTTCTAAYCATTCTCCAAACAAATTTGTACCARTGACAAAYGAGAGATGATATTAATAAAYCCAGGATATCTTCTKTTCTTTCCCCAGATATCAATGAAGATTCATTCTCAGAAGTGAGATGACACTTCTATGAGAAGGCATGAGACAGTATCACTCCCACTTGCTCACGCCACCCTCTGCTGCCTTCACAAACCTACCAGAAGTCTGAGAAGTATCTGTACAACAAGTAGCACCCAAAGGAGCATTGCTAAATTGAGGATAGCACAGATGCACAAAGAAAATTTGTTACAATTTTGTCTRTCGTTTAGACTCACAAGATGAACAAAAGAGGGAGAGGAAAGAGAAGCATGAATTCATGTGGCACCATGGCTCCCCAGAGTGCTCTGTGCTGTGCAAATAAAGAACAAAACCTCAGTGCCTGGCCTGAAGAATGTCAAAACAAGTGAAGATGTCCTAAAATCAGTGAACAAATGGGGGTGACGGTGCTCATGGAGTGAGCTCCTAAATGYTGTCTGGTTGTTTTATGGATATAATAAAGAGCTGCAGGAAGGGATTCAAACATGAATAATGAGTAATTTTATGGATAATTACAGGCAGTGCCTTCCAAGCCTGAAAGACAACATGGGTGAAACCACAAAGATACTTGTTTGCAAATGCAGACCAACTMTACAATTGTAAAACACAAAACAAAAATGAAAGAGGGCCAGGGAAGATGGTGCAGAGTTGGGATCTTCAGTGATTTGAAACTGAAGGCAGAGAGATTCTTATTGGGGATGAGTTTAAGAAAATCACAGTGGGACTCAGGACAAGGAAAATGTGTTTGAAGAGTAGAAGGATTTGTTTTTTTCTCACTGGCTAGATAGCCAAGTGTCTCTCAAATTAGTTGTTATTGCTGGTTAATTCAAATAACCTCTCCAAGCAGGACACAGGACCTGGCCTAAAGGGCAGATCTGATTTCAGTGCTCTTTGCACTGCCAGTCACCAGTTTTTTGGCATCCCCCAAAGTGGCTCACAAGGACAAAGGACAACAACAGGGACAGCAGTAGTAGGGAGCAAGTGCATACCCAGCATGCACAAAGGCTTCCTGGCAAACTTGAGTCTCCCCCTCCATCCTTTGTAGCGACAGCAGCAGCCAGCAGCCCAGATTCTTAAGGCAAACTCTGCTCCAAAGATGAAAATGGCAAAAGTTTCCTGTATCAAGACACAAACTGCATTGTTAGTCTCACAAGTTTTGCAGTAATTCTGGACACAGGGATAGAGCTGAAGGAGAGATGAGGTGTGAGTGTTAGGATATGTGTGAGAGAGAGAGGAAAAAGTGGAGAGAATCCAGATTGRTGGCAGAGGCAAGGTAAAGTGGGACAGTGTTTCCAGCCTGATAAGTTCTCTGCAGGAAGGATTTGCCACTGATGTTGGGTAAATGTGAAGTGCTTACCCTGCCTCAATGGAAAGGTAATTACTTCACAAAAATACCTCCTGCTCCACACAAAMTGAGCAGATATTTGTGAGKGRARACTCCAAAGCCCCCAGAGCACTCTKTACCTSCCCCCRGGGTCACCCACCAGCAGCTCATCCATGCATTGTCTGTCGAGTCAGGGGCAGGATACAGATATTCACATGGGCATAAGTTTAAGGCAATGATAAAGACATTTATAACACAAATTTAAAGCATGTATCGTTCTCTTAAATTTCTGGCAGACAAAAGAATGGGATTTTCCTCCTTGCTCCAGAGCCTTTCTGAGCATGGGGAGGGAATGGGGAGCAGAGAGTGTCTCTGAGGTCTCAGCAGAGATGGGCCAAGGGCAGCCTGGGGCACATTACTTGGGTTACTTTTCCTCCCTGTGAATTGCTGGCAGGAGGGAAAAGGGGACTTTCCCTTATGCTCATTACCCACAGTTGCTTCTGAAAACTGCTGAGAGCCACATAAAAACAAGCACAGGAGAAGGAAAAATAACCTCAGGCTTTTCCAAATGTGAAAGATGGGTCTAAGCAGGGTAAGAGAGACTGAAAGCGAGTTTCACATTCCCTGAGGGATGAGARTGTTTTCATACAGGCACTTTTTGAGAAGGAACATGCAAGGGGAATTCACYTTTCATTCCTTTTGGCATTTAGCTCTTGCTCGGATCTATGTCTCTGGGGGTACAAGGGGAAATGGAAACTCAGATCCTGGAACTAATTTTGCTCTGCAGTTTCCCTGGGGATACTTTAAACAAGGGCAGGTTAGGCAAGACATTGTGCCCTGTATTTTGTGATAGCTATGGGAGCAAAGCAAGTTTGGTTTTAGGGTATTTTTCATAAAATGTTGAATTTGCTGTTTCATATTTAGTAAGTTTTTTTGGGTTATTTTGTTTTGTTTTGTTTTGTTTTTAACTCTTCTGCTAAATAGGAGGCCTTACTGAAATAAAGTATTGAGCATGAGCTTCAGCATTTATAGAACAAGCATTCTGGAGTGCATTTGCTGTGAATGTATTTTGTCTCAACTCCCTGCAGCAATTTCAGTCATGCTGCTATTGGACACAAACATGAGCCCAACTCTGATGACATCTCTTAMGAGAAATACCAGGATTAATAAAATACTGTAGAATGAATCAAAACTGCTGAAAGATTTCCCCAAAAAATAGTTTTCAAGTGTGCTTACATCTGGCATGGTCAATATAATCTGATGATAGGACTGTCAGACAAATGCTGAAAAGCCATTATTTAAGAGCCTCAGGCTGGGGTTTTTCCTCTCATTTTCTTTTTGCTCYGGAACCTCACTTTCTTTTTATTCAGTTGGAGTTCACAATGGACTGGGAACTTTCCAACATGTGAGTGTAGAGTCCCTGCCCCAGGACCAGCAGCAGAAACCTCACTGCACACAGAGCTGGGGGTGTCTCCATCCCTCTGATGGGGCTCATTTCAGCTCAAGGACCTCAACAGGGGGATGCAGCAGCCACAGGTCACTTACCAGCAAGAGGAGCCAGTCTCCTGAAACTGTTTCATACTCCTTGAAAGTTGTCAGGACAGCCAAGATCAAACACCCCAAGACGATCAGAAACCTGTAATGAAACAAAATAAAAAAAAAAACAAACACAGCTTTGTTACTCCTCTCTGTGTTTGCACTGGAGATATTGCCTATACAACCCTGAGCAGGGACCTTCACAGGATGACTGCTTCCCACTGGTGACCAGTGAGGTGGTTTTTATGAAGATGAAAACCTGGTTCTCAACCAGGATGGAGCAGGAAGAACTGGCAGTCATGGCAAAATCCTGAGTGAAAATGTTCCTGGGACAGACACGCATTAATTGAYTCACATCCTTCAAGAATGAAACAGGTGATAGTGCATTTTCAGAARGGATTGTATGGCATGGCAGAGGATTGTATTGCTCTGGAGGTCTGTTCCAAGCTGTGTCATTCCCAGAATGCTGTTCCTGTGCAATGGATCCCCTTGGCACACCCCAAGGCCTGGGAAACAGTAAACTCCTCACCACAAAGCAGCACTGGGACAAGCCCTCCCTTGAAAACTGCATTGCATTTTTATTTTTTCTTCTCTTTTTGCACTCATTTCTATGCAGATGAAAAGACGAAAAGGTTTGAAAGAGTAACAAGAGARGGTAAATTTCTGCTCCCCAGTAAACAAAGTGTGTGATAAATCACTACTCCTGTGTGATTTTCTGTCTGTGAGGCTCCAGAGCACAGAGATTTGACTAAAAATTTAACTCCCACTGCTGGCAAATCCAATTCAGTCTAATTGATCTGCTTTGCAAAACTATTCCCAGGTTCAAGCTATTCAAAATCYTTTATACCAGTGATTACTGTAAAGCAAAGTGGGACAAGCTCATCTTCTGGTACTTCATGTACCCAGAGCATGGGCATTTTAATGTGCTTCCAAAAACTGATCCACAGGAACAGAGGGCCAGGTGGCCATGGAAATATTTTGAGTTTAATGAATAAATTAGAAGGRTGTCTTTGTAAAAGCTCTGGATCCCCTGCTTTCATAGCTAGGGTACATCAAAGAAATGATAGGCATTAGGTACTGAAATCATCCAGGGAAAAAAAAGCTTGTGAAGACTCAAGCTGTTTTTATGTGTACTACCTGTTTTGAATTTCAATCTGGTTCCTGTAGTGTGATTTCATTTATTTCTGGGTAAACTCCACTGTGTTTCTCTGGGTGAAAGGAGCAGGGCCCTTTCACAGCCTGCAGAGGGGAGGCAGTGGCCAGGAGCTCAGCTCAGTGACATGTCTCCCCTCATCTGCCTTGGGCTTTTGTTTCCTTCATGTCTGAGGAAACCTAGGGCTAAAGAATGATGTTCTGAGAAAGTGTAACTTATTTGGAGCTGGAGTGAAAGGACAGAGATGAGTTCCAGATAGTTCCTGCTGCCTTTTGGRCAGAATTTCCTCCAAGCAGCATCCACTAGAACCCTCCATGCAAGGAAAAGACAGCAGTGAAACACTTCATAGCAAACCCTGAAGGAATCCTTGGCTGTGGCTTCTCTGAAATCCACTGTCCTTATGCCAGCAAAATTTCACATCAGCCATTTTGAGCAAGGTTAGAAGAGAAGTAAATGTGTTTGCTCCTGCTAAATAATTWTGGATTTCTTCTGCAAGTTTCACCTTTTCCCACTCCCCAGCCCTGCTCTAGAGCACGGGTTATGTAGTTGGCAGGAAGCACACCAGAATGTGTCTTTTGCCATCTACCAAACACCACTCCTGCTGCTCAGGACATTTGACAGTTCACTCAGCAGTTCTCTGGTGCTCCTGCCACTCCCTTGATCATCTCTGTCCCACCACACCTTGCAGTCACAAACCCAGGGCTCCCTGGCTTCCCCAGACCCATGATCCTGCTGTCCTGAACCTCCAAGAGCAAATTGGTGAAAACTGAACAAAAACAAGCTGATTCCTTTGAKTAACTATGAACCACCCATGCTCTGCCAGGCTACAGCATTTACTGTGGCACCACCACTACCCCTCCATTCAAAGCCTTGAGCAGCTGCTACTTGGCACTTTCCATTACAGCCACTTCTTCATATCATATGGAAATTGCATCACCCATCAGCTCACAAGCATCATTTTAATGATTTAATGAGAGGTGAAACACACTGAAAGCAGTCCAAGGAAATTACATCATCGCATTACATCACAGCTGCTTAAACCAAAGGCATGAATTTATGAGATAATTTATCAGAGCACCGCTGTCAATTAAAGAGGATTTACAGATTTTTGTCCAAAAAGAAGACAAAAAAGTTAGTAGTGAAAATGTCTTTTTTTGCCTAAAAATGCTTGCGATTTACCACTAGAGGGTAYCGGTGCTCCACAGAGCGAGGGGATGCAGCTCCCTCGTTTTCCTTCCCCACGAAACAGACTCAGAGCAGGTGATGTTCAGGTGATTGCAACCACGTATTTGTTAAAAGTAAAGGGGTATCACAGCTATGAAAGGGTTTGGCCAATAAAAAAATCCCATATATTGACACCAAGGGACAATTGCTTAGTGCTCTAAGGGATGCTGCTTGTTCAATGCCTCAGTGTGGCACAGCCCACGCTGCAAGTTTCAGGTCCAAGTGAGAGGCCACCCATGAGAACAGATCATGCAGGACAAAAACCCCAATAAAAATAGGGTGAGAGGATCGTGCTGAAGATCACAAGTCATCATTGAATAAATCTTGAGGGCAAATCTGAGAAGAGATTGTGGCCTGAATCCCCCATTGCAGGAAGTGCATGAAAGCACCTCGGAGGTGCCATTGCTGAGTGGGAACTGCATCCCCAAAACCACAGAGCCCACACAGCCCCAATCCTGCTCCTTCCTGCAGGACACAGGGGTGTGAAGGGATGAAAAGCCTGTGTTTGTACCCATAACCACAAACCATCTTGGAATGGCTGGCTTTCCTCCTGCTGCAATGTTTCCAAAGGATGAGCACCAACTGCAGACACTCACAAGTTAATCAGCTCCCATCTCAGCATCTGCAATTATGAACCATCAGTTTTAATCTGCATTGATTCCACGCAACTCAGCCTCTCCTGGTCTGGATCCTGGTGGATTTGAAGCCTGCAAGACCCCTTAATTCCTCTTCCTGTGCAAGAATCTACACAGAAACCATCCTTCTTACCTCAGTCCCTCTTGCTCAGCAAAGATGATGAAAGGTTCATCTCCCCCTCACTGATTCTGTCCATGCTGTGTCCACACCTATGCCCAAATAGTGGCCAGGAAAACAGAAAGACACCCAGTAACAGGGCAATACCTGAGTCTACACTGCCTAATTTCAYCTTGTAGAGGCAGCAGTGTGGGCTCAGTGGCTGAGTCTGGCTGTAAAATCGTAACAGGAAAATCACAGGGTAAGAAACTGCTGAAATSACAGAGGATGAGCAGGAGGAATACTGTCACAGACCTGGGGAATCAAGGGACAGAAGGGCAAGAAGTCTGAAATTAATTCACAGCTATGATCATTCGTGGGACATAGAGCACTAAGGTTTAGAAGAAAGAAATAGGGTAAAAAATCAAGGTTTAAATGAAAATTGAGTCCTATTAAGCCAAAGCTTCCTATTAAACAGTGTTTCAGCAGGTGGCAGTCCAGACTTCAAGAGTGTATATACCATATGCCAAATGAAGATCTGAAAGTGCTCTTCAACTTTGTAGAATCATCCTTGCCATTATTTTACATAATTTTTCACAGCACATTGCATTGCTCCTATTTGCAGCATTATGACTAAAATCTGATTCAGTTATTTTATGCATAAGTTCCAGGCCATCAAATGGCACTGCTCTTTTGTCACTCTCACAAATAATAAATTATTCAGGTCAATATGTGTTCTTAGTTTTAGAAATTTTGTGTTTAACACTCATATTTTCTAATGGTGTTATTTTGGTATATTATTTTCTTTTTTTTTTTTAATTCAGAAAAGAAGAAGTAATTTATGACTATGCATGATCATGAATCTAATGTTTCTTGTAAGAACATCACAGACTGTTTTGCTTGGTAAATTTTTACTTAAATAAGTATTTCCCATTTTTTGAGTTTTTATTCTATATCTGTTTTCAATTGAAGCCAATAGATTGCAGATCTAACTGAGAACTTTTAAATGTTTTATATATACATCTGCTCATTATGCTTCCTGTTCACCATCCCTTCCTTCAAAACTGCAGGAGCAGATCCTGTAGTAATTTTCCCGTAATCTATTCCAGAACAGCTTCCCTGTGAAGCTGTTTTGAGCACTAAATACGTCATAGGCAGGCCAAACAACATTTGCATCTGGTACAGTTTTGACAGATTTTTGTGCTGTGGGACAAAATGTGACATCTCAGTGAGGTTTAGTTAACAGAGAGGAATGTGTGCTTCTAGTGTAGAGCTCAAACTGATTTAAAGCAATCAGCTCAAGCAGGACAGGAGCMCCTACAGAGGCCATTTCTTCTCTTCAGCTGTAAGGACAGACTGGTAGCGAACTCCTGTGGAGAGGTTTATTGTGTAAATAAGCTGAATGCCACCCCTCATGTTCACCCCTGGTTTGTAGATAATTACAAACACCATCTCTTAATAAAGTTTATGTATTTTTACTATTGAAAGAATTTGCCAAAAAAACCCACCAGCCAGTAGCCCACTTGTTACATGACTGGGTTTTCCTGAAATCCCTTGCTGTAAATTTAAGTATCACATCTGTCTGTGCTCAAGGATCCTGGTTACAAAATTATCATCCAGGCTCTGGGCAGGAACAGTTGTTAAAATCCTTGTATGAAATCCCCCCAGTCCAAGARTTCACAGGTTTCCATTTGCTCTCACATGTTCAATACCACTTCTTGCAAGTMATTGGGGTTTCTTCCGTCTTCAAATGCTCTTATGAATCTTAGATTTTTCTGCTTTGCACAATTTGGTACTTTATTTCCTTCCCTCAAAGCCTGTGYTCTGGTTTCATTATGCTCTGCCACCTGGTAAATGCTAATGGAATTCTCTAAGATTGTGATATATAAGGAAAATCTGGCAGTGTATTGCTAAAATTTTGGTTTAGGGTATCCAAAGCAATATGGTTCTAAACCATGATTCCCACACACTTTCCCAAATTTCATATTGGA